GTTCACCAAATGAAAAACGAACATGTTTCAGTGTATAATTACTGATCACATAGTTATTGCTTTATATATACATGTATAGTCGTATATTTCTGTATCATAAAATGTAGGCAGGGACAAATCAATAGATTATGAAGCTGATAACGACTAAACTTAGAGGCTGTACGTTAAACCAGAAACTTCTCAAGCGACAACAACGAACCGCACGCGTGAAGGTTTCCTAATGTCCGAACGACATCAAAATCATGCTGACGCATTAGTGCACGAGCCCGCATGCAAGCACGTGATTAATGACTGTTGGTATATTGCATTCCACGTCATATAAACGGTGCATTATTTTAAACTAAAATTGTGAATTTTAAAATATTCCTCTACACCTAAAATGATTAAATTACATTAACGTGTTAAATTCTTTTCACAACTCATTCCATCGTGTAATTATTAATTATAACTTTTGGGTTAAAATGAAAATGAGTGTATCTGCTATATCCAGTGCCGACGAGGTCTTTCGCCGATACCAAGTCCCTCCAGGTTAGCTGGGATACAACTTATATAGTAGTGGTTTTGGCGCTATTCATAATATATGTTGCTTGAACAACAATTATTTCGGTGAAAACCGTATTAAATTTGGTGAAGCGTAAGTTTTATCAACCCTTATTTTAATTCACTAATAATAAGAAATAGGTTGAGAATTTTGAACACTATATGTTATTAATTATTCTTTTCTTGAAATCACCAACTCATTATTAAAACAACTAACAAGGTAGTATTCTTTACACAGTTTTCGTTAAGTAATTTTAGAATTTATACAATGACACGATGAACGTAATCTAAATCTGAAGATTACGTATTCTACTGTCTCAATACATCAGCTACGATGTACAGTTTCTGCTTGTTTTCACTTAAGATGTATGTCAGCACTTATGCTCATTGTAATGGGAGTTTTAGTCAAAATTAAATTTATAACTTATAAAAAAATAAAAATAAAATGCTACCTTAACATACAGGCAACTTATACGTCAGCGGAAGTAAAGTGTTAACTTCCGGTGTTACTTCTTTTTAATTACTATTCATTCAAACTGCAAATTATTATTTCTTACTAGCCAAGTTGTACCCCCGGTAAGGCAGCGGTAAGTGTACGAAGCTACAATGATAAAATCCGGTGTTCGATTCTCCGCAGTGGACACAGCAGGACAAACAAACAAACCAGCCAAGTTCATTAACTTATCATAATTTTAACAGGCCTAGGTGGTTAAGACGCTTGACTCGCAATCTGAGTGTCGCGGGTTCGAATCACCGTCCCACCAAACATGTTCGCCTTTTCAGCAGTGGGAGCGTTATAATGTTTTGGTCAATCCCACTATTCGTTGGTAAAAGAGTAGCCCAAGTGTTGGCGGTGGGTGGTAATGACTAGCTGTCTTCCCTCTAGTCTTTCACTGCTAAATTAGGGACGGCTAGCGCAGATAGCCCTCGTGTAGCTTTGCGCGAAATTCAAAACAAACCAGGCCTAGGTAACTGTCGTGAACGAGTGAATAAATAAACCTTAGTCACTGCTACGAGGGCCCGGCATGGCTAGGTAGTTAGGGCACTCGACTCGCAATCTGAGGGTCGCATGTTCGAATC